AGAAGAGGCGGAGGGCAGCGGCAGCGCGGGGGGAAGAGCAGGAGGACGAGGACGAGGAGGAAGAGGAGGAGGAGGAGGAGGAGGAGGAGGAGGAGGAGAGGAGGAGGAAGGAGGAGGAGGAGGAGGAGGAGGAGGAGGAGGAGGACAGGCAACGGGGGAGCAAGACGCCCAGTTTTCCCACATTTCGTAAAAGAAGGGAGAGGGTCACAATTCTTCCTGGCCGAACAGTTTTGGACCTCCCCAGACCAGCTATGCGAAAACGGCCTATTGCCCAGACCCCGCAGAACCCTCCAAGACAGCTCAAGTCAGACCCCCAAAAATCTGCCCCCCCTTTGTATTATGGAGCTTGGAGTAGATGGGGGTCCACTGGGAGGAGGCGGTTGGGGAGTCTTCGTTGGCTCTTGGCCCCAAAAATTTGCCCCTCCTTTGTATCATGGAGATTGGAGTAGATGGGGTCCAACGGGGGGGAGGCGGTTGGGGAGTTTTCGCTGGCTCTTGGATGTTTCCTCGCCCCTCCAGCGCCGCTTGGAGGTCGAACTGGTCGGAGGTTTCCCTGGCCGTTCCGTGGCCGCGTCCTCCTCGCGCCTTGCCCCTCCTCTGCTTCCGCCGTAAATCGTTGCGGACGCGTTTTGCCGCTGGCTCGACCGCTTGTTGGTTCCACCTCGCCGCTGGTCAAGCAGCTTTCTCTCCCCAGGATGGCTTCCAACAGCTGCGCCTCGTCGAGAGCTTCCGTCGGGGCCCAGACTGTCTCGTGTGGCCGCCGGAGGCCCGAGTTACGACCCGAAAGGCACGAGTTGGGTGAGAACCAGGGGTGTGTTGATATCATGCCTGGGGCGATGAGGTCTCCCAGAGTGCATGCACCTCCCTGTAGCACTACACAGAGTGAGCGTGCAATGCTGGATGCTTTATGGCTGGCCGCGATGTTTTTTTGCTCAAGCGGTTTTTCGAGGCGGCGGATGGAGGATTTCGGCTGAATCATTTCTAACTGGTCACCAGCCCCGGCACCTCCCAGCGGCGCGCCCACAATCCTTGCGCGGTGGCCATATCGACAGCCCCCAATGCCTCCCTGAGTTCACAGGGTATCTGGGCCACACGGGTGCCACTCTAGCTTACGGTGGTTGGCATCGTGCTCGTATTCGGCCTGGGCGTTTTGTTCGTGCTACCTTTTCAAGCGCTGTGCTGTTCTCGTTACGTGACGTGCTGGCCCGTGCTGGCGGGTCTTCTCTCCGTGTCGCGCCCCCTTTCGTGGTTGTCTCCTATCTAGTTGCAGGCGACGCCCGAAGTAGTGAGCAACGACGGCGTCGAGGCAGCGTCGAAAGATAATGGTCGGATGGGAACCCGGGGACGCAGCATACTTCACGGCTTGGACGCGAAACCGTGGCATGGGAGGCTGAGCTGTGCAGTAGTAGATGATCCAACCTACGTTGTGATGATGCTTGATCAGGAACCGGAGCGTATGCATTACCAGTGGCGGGCTGTTTTTCAATCCCAGGACTTTTTGAGGTCGGGGACGCCGTCGGGCTGGTGTGCTGTACATTTGTTCCCCCGTTTTCCGGGGGAAACGACGAAACATGAAAAACCAGGATCCCGCACACACCAGGACCCGCTCTCCTGTGCAAGCAAGCTTCAGTGCCGGGCCTGAAACAGCGTCAGTGTTCAGAGTTCGGTTCCCCAAGATGACTTTACCTGCTCCGGGTTTCTTAATAAGCGTGGGGGGGTGCCCCCCGACGGGGGCCGACCTTGCCTCGTCGTCGCGCCGCGACGGGGGTTCGGAGCGCCTTCGGCGCGCGGTGGCTGCCCTCGACGGGGGTCGATGTGGGGCTGTCGTCGGGGGTGACGCCCCCCGACGCTTACCAAGGAACTCGCAGTACACCTTAGGCGATGCTTAAGAAAACTTACGTTTTCGGCCAGAGTCTCGATTATTCTTAACGCTTCAATGTACATCCTAAGATTTGAATAGACATGTTGGGTTTTTCTTCAAGTTCTGAGACTCTGAGTTTCTTAACCCATGATTTCTTAAGCATTTCGCAGGGTGTACGCTGTGATGACCGCTGCTGGCGGTGTGTCTGCGGAGACGATCCGCACGGAGTGCTCCGACGCGCCGTCGGGCACGGCGGGGGCCCCGAGGCGGCCTCGGCGCGGCAGTCCGGGCGCGGCGTGCGGCCGGCCGGGGTGGGCCGGCCGCTGCGAGGAGCGGCCGAAGTGCGCGGGGTCTCGTCGGGCTTTTCGAGGAGAGGAAAAAACTTTGTGGCGTTCGCCGGGTGGGTTCTGCTGCTGAGGCTGGGGCACATACACCTTAGGCGATGCTTAAGAAAACTTAAGTTTTCGGCCAGAGTCTCGATTATTCTTAACGTTTCAATGTAAATCTTAAGATTTTCGCAGAAATGTTGGGTTTTTGTTCAAGTTCTGAGACTATGAATTTCTTAACCCATGATTTCTTGAGCATTTCGCAGGGTGTACACGGCCAGTGGCAGGCTGCTTTTCAATCCCAGGACTGTCCGAGGGTCGGGGGCGACGTCGGTGTGGTGTGGTGTGTACTGGTTGTTTGCGTTTCCCGAGGGAGCGATGCAACATGTATACACCAAGATCCCGTATACACAGGGATCCGTTTCCTGTGCGAATTTCAGTGCAGGGCCGGACACAGCGCACGTGGGTGCAGCTTGGGGCAGGGGCGAGTGACGCAGGTCATCGGCTCTGCTAGGTTTCGGCGGTGACGGAGGGCAGAATCTTTTCGTTGCCTGGCCGATCCAATTCGTTTTCGGACAACATTTGACAGTATAGAACAGTTGGGGCCGAGCGATTTGGGCCTCGCCAGGGAGCTTGCCATCGTGGGCTGCCAGCAGGTAGACGGGGCTTGCACCGGACCGCAGGGCGAGCTCCTGAGGTCTCGTGGCGGTGAGGGGGAGTGGACGCCCTCTGAGCCGGTGACAGCGGCTGCCGAAGACGCGATGGCCCCTCCCGCTGGAGGGCGCAGGGGGCAAGCGGTTCAGGAGTCTGGGGAGTGTGGCCACACATTGGAAACCAGGCCAAGTTCGAACATTGGATTCCGGAAGGACCGCGAAGAGGCATGCCGCGAGGAGGTACGAGAGCAATCTGCAGGGAGAGGAGCGCAGCGCGGTCACTCACGGCGTGTTGTCGGATATCCTGGAGTTGTCCACCCCGTGCGATCGAGTAGGCACCTCTAGCCTAGCCAGCATGGGGTGCCTGTGCACCACGCTCAGTGCATCGAACGTGAAGCAGGAGACACCGAGGAACTCCGACTCCCAGGACAGCGATCTGGTCCGTGCGCGTCGCCCTGGCGGTGCCATCGCGATCTCAGATCTCTGGGGGTGGCGGAGTCTGCGTCGCGGTGCTCGGCCATCTTGCAGGAGGAGCGCAAGGCTGCCGAGGGGCGCGCGCTGGCGCGCGCTCCCCAGAAGCACGCGTGACCTGAGCACGGCGGGTGGCTCTGGCCGTGAGGCTCTCCGCCGCTTCCCCCCTCCTCTTCTCTGCCGGATTCAAGCCTCGCGCGGCCCGCGCAGCTTCGACCGGACGAGGTGCGCTCCCGGCCCGCGGCTCAAAACCGTGTTCTGGCCGTCCCTGGTCCCGGCAGAAGGCAGCGCCTTGGAGAGCGGTGCGTCGAGAGAGCTCGTCCCCGTCGCGCCGCCGAAGAGTGCGTGGCCGAGCAAGTGCATGGCTGCCCCGGGCGACCTGCGCGGGGGCGGCTCTCCTGGTTGCCCGGGGCGCTTCCCGGCTTGGGCGCAGGCTCCAGCCGTGGACGACACGGCGGGCACCATCAGACTCGGGGGCGGCAGAGAGGGGGGTGGTGACCAGGGGGGAACGGACAGCATGGCGTGGGCCCTGGTGTCTCCCCAGATCCCATGGCGCCTCTTCTACTTTCATGGCGTCCCTGGCCCCTCCCTGGGGCCTCCCCCGCCCGCCCCCCCCTCCCCCCTCCCCCCTCCCCCCTCCCCCCTCCCTCTTGCCTCCCCCCTCCCCCCCCCCTCCCCCTTCCCCCTCCCCCCCCTCCCCCCCCTCCCCTCTTGCACGCCCCCCTCTTGGCCGCCCCCGACAGATGCCGGGGGCCACGCGACGTCCTGCCCGCGACCGAGGCAGGGAGGCGCTCGGCGCCGAGGCCACGGGCCCCGCGCCCGACGGCCCCTGCGTGGCTGCGCCGTGCGGTCGCGGCCCGGTCTCGTGGGCGGACCTGGCGAGGCCCGTCGGCTTGTTGGGCGTGCTTCTGGACCGTGGGTCTCGTCGTCTTGTTGCGCCGACCTGAGGTGGCGCCCCCGACTGGCTGTCAGATTTATTTGGCTGGTAGGCTTACTCGTGTTGAGGAGTCGTCTTTCTGGGAGGGGTGCGTGCGCGTCCTGCGTGCAGGATCGCTGAAGCGGGACATCGTCGAAATCTTGCGTGCGGGGGGAGTTTCGGTGCCGTCGCCTGGCAGTGGATGTGGGCGTGGCATCAACCAGTCCCTCGGGCGACCTGCCTCGGTGCGGCCGGGGTCGGCCGCGGCTTTGGTCGGCTACGAGGTGGACGCGGGGGGCCGCCTGGAGTCTCCGACAGAAGGCATGGCGGTTCGTCTTCTGCCAGCTCAGTCCGCTCGACGACAGGGCCTTGGATGGGGGTGGAGAGCCAGCGCGTGCCGGTGAGCTGGGCGGTGCAGGCCCATCGTCGGGCATCGGGTGTTGCTAGAAGTGCCCCTGGCCCAAGGTACCCCCAGGATTCTCGGGGTGGCCCAGGCGACCTCCAGAGCACCCCTCACGAGGCCCAAGGGACCCCCAGGGGCTCCAGAATTGAGCGAAAAGCTAGGGGCACCTTGGGTTCGGGGCACTTCTAGCAACACCCGAGGGCAGGCTGTCGTGTCACTTCTGGGGCTTGGGTGTCGCCCTGCTGGCGGGCGCTGCCGATGTGCTCCTCGTGGGCCGTGCGGCGGGCGCTGGCGGCGCATCGGGGACTACTTCGTCGTGCAGGCCTTGGAGACATCGAGCACGAGCTGGTGGCTTGTCAGGTGCCACCAGATGCCGCGGAGGCACTCGTGCCGCCCATGCTCTGCGTTCTGCGTGGGTAGCGAGGTGCTCGCGTCGTCCAGTGCCGGCGCGTCGGCCGCAGGCAGGGGGCAGGCCGCTGAGGCGATGGCGGGAGTCGGGTTCCCTGTGCACGAGGTGGAGGAGGGTCATCCCGTCGTGCAGGCGTCGAGCCTGGATTGCAGGGCCAAGTCTACCTGCTTCTGGAAGACGAGCAGCTGGGGCCGATGCCAGGTACCGTTCAGGGCTTCCTGCGTGGAGGCCGGCTGCCGACTTAGCATTCATGAGCAGTGGTTCGACCGAATCAGCCCGTTTCAGTCTAAGTTACCCCGTGACTTCCGCCATTCGTTCAGCCCGAGTCAATTCAATGTTGCGTTTACCGAGCTGAGGCGTGGTTACCGTGACCCAACAAGGACGTTCCCAAAACGCAGGTGTTTATTGAAGCGCGCCCGGAAAAGCAAGAGGATGAACTGTTCGTTATGTTCGGCACGATGTTCGTTGTGTTATTGTCAGAAAAGCCCAAGGTGCTCTTCCATCAAAGTTATTCATGAAGAAGCGCGCGTCAATCAGGGTCAAGCCAGCGCGGCCACTGTTACCATGCGATACGCCGCGAAGGAGGTAGATGATTTCTGCATTCAGCCCGTGGATGGTCTTGTTATCTTCTACGAGCAGTACGACGTGGCTTATCGGTCGGACATCTTTTGCGATGCCATCGATGAGTCCAACCGTTCTCTAGCCTTCCTGTCGGACTACACTCCGGAGCAGGGGTTGCAGGGCGGCCGCGCCGGCCAGGTCCGTTAGCCGCCACCACCGCCGCTAGGTGATCCTCAGTTTCCTGTCTCCCCCCTCTTACTTACCGTGATCGGTGTTACCACTCTCAGCAGTCTTGCACGTTGCGGCACATAGAGGTGCATCGCGCGTCAGGAAGCTCTGCGCGTTTGCGCCGTACTGCTTAGCCGCGTTCTGCCTGTGGTAAGTGCGTGTTGTTGCCCAACGGCGAAATTTCTTTCAGCTGGGTTGTATACTCAGGAAATGTTTCAATTCCTTCGGTTCGCCCTCATCCAGTCTGTCGTATAGAAAGTCTTCGCCCGCCGCACTCATCGGCCATTCTGGTCAAAGGGGGGTGGTAGAACATGGCCGTGCGACTGGGTGAGGAGCATCGCCGCACGTCTTGTGGTCAGGTGTTAGTGCTACCGCTGGCAGTTGGCTTAAGCACTTGACAATGGTACTGTCGCTGCTGATAAACACATCATCTGTGACTCGTTCCTGTGCAGTTCCTTTTCGGGAAATTGCAGGGGGAGGATGGCGGGTAGGAGGAAGAGGAACGACGCGTAAGATGATATGCGTGAGGGAGGACATCGGTGGAGGATGAGGATTAGCATGAGCAGGATGAGGAGGATTAGGAGGAGGAGGAGGAGTCGGAGGACGAGGAGGAGGAGGAGGAGGAGGAGGAGGAGGAGGGGGAGGAGGAGGAGGAGGGGGAGGAGGACACCTAATTGGAGTATGAACAGGGGAGGGGAATGTTGATGAGGATGATGAGGGGGAAAGGAGGACGATGATCAGATAATCACGGGCAGGAAAATGAAGGTAGGTGGTGGGTGGTGTGGAGGACAGCACGAAAGTAGGTGATGGACGAGGATGGGTGTGGCTGAGGGATGATGATGGTCCGCTTTCATTTTTTCGTGCTTCCCTTCTGCGTCGTGAGCGCCCGGGCTGCCGTGGTTCAGGGCATGAGGGTCGAGGTCGAGTACCAGGGGGACTACTATGCTGGCGAGGTGACCAAGGTCAGCAAGGAAGCGTGCCGTGCCCGTGGAATTATTTGGCCAGACCCGCTCAGGTCTTTTACGAACACGTCGATATTAGAAACAAATGTTTCCAGAGGCCTTCAGAGCTCCCCAGCACGGCAAATGAACGGTTCAGGAGGTCGGTCCGTGATAAAAAAACACGCCGTCGGAGGCCCGTGGAGGCATCAAGGTCTCTGCGTGGGGCACGAAGAAATCGCTCTTCCCGCGTCGTGGCGCAGCTCCAGGGTCGCCGCGCGAGGGCGCGACGAGAACTGCGCGACATGAGATGGCTTGGGCTTATTGACTGCCACATCGCCCAAGAGTGGGTGTTGGTGGAGAACCGGGAGAGAGGAATACGACGTGTGGGAGAAAGACAGGGACCGAGAAAGAGAGAGAGAGAAACGTGCAGACAGAGAGGGATAAATATAAACAGATCTAGAGATAGCGAGGAGGGAAATATACATAACGAGATATCGCCAGGGTCAACGTAATGAATATGTGTGCCCACATACATACCCATGTATGTATACGTCAGTACATTGTATATATAGTAATATGTATGTGTGAGGTATTTGCGCACATGTATCTGCATATGCATATACGTATACGTATACATGTGCAGTTACACATACATATACATATACATATACACATATATGTACACATACCTACACATTTACATACACATAACACATATACATCTGACTCTACTTTCACATATACATATCCGCATGCATATTTGTATTTTTATATATATATATATATGTATGCGTACATTCATACACACGTATACATATGCATATACATACACACATATACATGTACATTCAGGAGCACATACACCTATAGTTGTACTTCTAATGCACATACACACGCACATGCAAGTACACCTACAATTAATACATAACTTTCCATGTGCAACTACATCGACTTTTACATTTACATATGCGTACACATACATGTACAGGCACACATGCATACACATATCACTTCCATACACATATACACATACTTTACATGCATAGTTGTACGTATGGGTTCCAGATTTGTAGTCATGTTCTTATCCATATAAGCATGCAACTTTACACACATACAAACGTATACATACACGTATTCATTTAGTTAGAGCTAAATCATTCCGTGTATATACACATACCTACCACATACTTGTTTGTAATTCTAGGCACACATAGAGACATAGGGAGGGAGAGTTAATCAGAGAGAGCGAGAGAGAGAGAGAGAGAGAGTGAGAGAGAAGCATAGCAATAGAGAGAGAAGCATAACAAGAGAGAGAGAGAGAGATAGAGATAAAGAGAGAAAACAAACACTATCTATATATACACATATATATATGGTTTATCGACGAGAAGAGGGGGAGGAGGAAACCGCAACTGGACGATCCGAGGAGAGCGAAGAGGAGGGGGGAAGAAGACTCTCCGAACCCTCGATGCGCCAGCGCTCTCGCACCCGACCTTCCCGTTCCCAGCCCCGTGCCTGCTGGTCTTCACGACGAGCCTCCCCCGGGGGAGCGCGAGGCGCTCCGCCCCGCGGGAGAGACGCTCACCCCCCCCCCCGGCCTGTGTTAGTGCAGGCGGGAGCTCCGCGTCGAGAAACAGTGCCCTCTTAGATGGGGTGATCGCGCCGCATTGTCGATGCATCGCCGATGCGGCTCGATGTGCAGCCCGATTGGCTTCACGTCGACGTCGCCGATGCGTCGCCGACGTCGACGATACATCGCCAGTGCATCGCCGCTGCATCGCCGATGCATCGCCGATGTATCGGCGATGCGGCATGATCTTCCGACCCCATCTACTCCCAAGGAGGCCTCTAGAGAAACAGTGCCCTCCATGTTTCGCGGTGTAGGTCTCGTCCGAAAGTTTTAGTATTTCCATCCTCTGTGGTGGGTTCCCCCCTCCTCCTCCCTCGCGCTCTGTTCTCTTTCGCCTCCGTGCCTCCATTCGTTCCCCGGTGCGCGCCACCGCCTGCTGACCGTCGCCTGAGTGTCCTTGACCACTTGGCGCCCGCGGACTTACAGAAGTGATGCGTGAATGTGCACTTGCTTCTGGACGTCGTGGAGCCAGCGTTCTTTCAGCCCTCTGGCGACACCCACGTGTGCTCCTCCTCCTGCTCCTGCTCCTCTTCCTCCTCCTCCTCCTCCTCCACCTCCTCCCCTTCCTCCTCCTCCTCCCCTTTTTGCTCGTGCTGCTGCTGCTGCTGCTGCTCCTCCTCCTCCTCCGCTTCCTCCTCCTCCCCTTCCTCCTCTGCCTCCGCCTCCTCCTCCTCCGGGCGATTGTCGGCGTCCTGTCCTGTCTTGTCCTGCCTTTTATGTTTCGGGCTTTTTGGGACTTGACATCGTGGGCCCTCAATGTCAGGGGCGTACCCAGCGCGACAGATCCGGCTTGAGAAGTATTCGCCCTTCATCCGTGAGTCTGTTGTGCGTCTTTCTCTCAATATTCGATCTCATCAGACCAACCGATGTTTAAAGCGAAGGCGCGAGGGTTTTTGTTCGAGATATGAATCGCCCTCTTGCGAGCAGCTGTTGCTCACATTCGAAGTCGTGATAACATTTAATGTCAGCATGTGATTCAGAAATGATGGCCCCCCCGAGGCTAATGAATGGACCCCGCGGGGCGCGAAACATTGTTTTCAAATCACACGCGTCAGGGGGGTCGTCGTGGGCGCCGCCCAGGGGATCGTGTACACTCTTGCGCAGCAGCCTCCAAACGATTTCCTTCCGCGTAGAAGTTGTTAGAAACCTAAGGGTCTTGTACATCCGAGGCGACGAATTTCTTCCTCTTAGGCTGATTAATGATTTGCCCCAGACGTCGTCGCTGTTGTTGTCGTTGTCGTCGTCGTCGTCGTCGTCGTCGTCGTCGACGTGGTCTTTCGCCTTCGTCGTCGTCGTCGTCGTCGTTGTCGTGGTGTGTCGTCGTCGTCGTCTTCGTCGTTGTCGTCGTTGTCGCCGTCGTCGTCGTCGTGGTCGCCGTCGTCGTCGTCGTCGTCGTCGTCGTCGTCGTCGTCGTCGTCGTCGTCGTCGTCGTCGTCGTCGTCGTCGTCGTCGTCCGTCGTGGTCGTCGTCGTCGTCATCGTTTCCCGTTGTGGTCGTGGTCGTAGTCGTCGGCGTCGTCGCCGTCGTTTACAGCGGGCCTACGCAGCCCCCCCATGGGGCATCCGCAGTGCGTCGTCGTCGTCGTCGCCGCCGCCGCCGCGCATCCGCAGTGCGTCGTCGTCGTCGTCGTCGTCGTTCGTCGTTCTTCGTCGTCGACTACGGCGGGCATGCGCAGCCCCCCCGCCCCTCCATGGAGTATCCGCAGTGCGTTGTTGTTCTCCTCCGTCGTCGTCGTCGTCGTCGTCGTCGTCGTCGTCGTCGTCGTCGTCGTCGTCGTCGTCGTCGTCGTCGTACGACATATTATAGTTGACTGGGGGAGGTGTGGAAAGGGAAAAAAGCCTTTGCCGCGTGCCTCTGCCGCTTTTTCCCCTTCTTCCGTTTCTTGTTTGCAGCTTTGTTGGCACAGCCCTCCAGCTGAGGCGCCGCGTCCTCCCGCCTCCATTTTTCTCCTGCCTGTAACCATTTTGGCCCCAACCACCCCGCCGTAGCAGAGGCGCTGCTGTCCCCCTCCGCTGAAGCGGCGCCGCTTGCGTCGCGCCTGTCCCTCCAGCTGTTGGCTGGGTGTCTGCGCTAATCAACGGCGCGGCCGTGGTGTGTGCTCCATTTGGCGGGCGCACCCTTGCGGTTCGCCCGATCATGGAAACATTTTTTTAATTCACGCGCTGTGTTTTTCTGTTAATCGCAGACTGACGCATGAAGGAGGTCTCAGGCGAAAACCCCATTCAGAAAAGGAGCTGCCGTCCGTCCGTGTAACTGTTGAAAATGTAATACGAGATTGCGCGGCGCCAGGGCCAGATTTCAATTTCGTAGTGAGCAATGTTTTTGGGGATAGCAAATGCTTGTCCGCTCTTTGCCGAAATGGCAGGGGGTTTGGATCCGTCGCGAGTAGCTTACCCCCATCCGTAAAA